GGGGGAAGTCATTAGTGCCCAAGAAGATGTCAGTTTTTCACAGGGCCACTTGCAAAAGCAGTATCTTGGAATCCAATTGTTTTAATGCATAAAACACTGTTAGCTTAATTGCAATGGAGTGGAGATTAGGACTGCTGTAGACAAAACAGGAAGGCACTATTAGAGAAACAGGCTGCTGAGGAACACCCAGAAAGAGGCAGCCATGACTCTGTGCAGAGACAGAAACCATTTACTGCCTGAATAGTAAATCATCAGCCTACCCTTTTTCTACTTCATGAAATCCAACCTTCCTGGATGGCCAAGTGAAATTAGGATGAAATTTAAGGGGAGGGGAAAAAGTGAGCATTGGACAGAAGTATTGTGGGGTCATAACCAGAAAAGCACTGAAAAAGATAATTAGTATTAGTCTCTGTATGAAGTCAGGAAAAAGTACAGAAGGTAAGAGGCATATTAGTAACACCACACTTCAGATAACTAGGTTTGTCCTCCTGGCCCTTTGAAACGACATCATCTCTGGACTTCCTTCTGTAAAACCTGTTTTCAGAACATCCTACTAGCCTCCCTTTCATGTGCCCCTTCCAACTTCTTCCACTATAAAAGTAATTTTGACTAGAATAGTCAAGAATATATACAAGAATATATAAGCTCTGTTAATGATGTGGTTAGAGTATCGATCTCAATAAGCAATCTGAATTCCCTACTCTGCTCAATAACCTTTGCTTATATCCATATACAGTAACAAGGGTGGGCAATCAATATCAAATTAAATTTACACACTAAAAATTGTCACAGTAAGACCAGAGAGCAAGCTTTGCCACACATGTTCTGGTTTTTGTGCTTTGGTAAAGGTTGCTAATAACGTAAGACATTCCAGCTGATTACTCAGATTTTAATAGACTCTACGACCTGTTATGCAGACTAACTGTGTGCTGCATGGCAAATCCTGAAAACGTCAAATTCAGGCAATTAAAATATCAGAGAAGCATTGATATCTTACAAATCATCCTCTAACTAGCTTAGAACTTTCACAACCTGGTAACTAGCTGGGTTCTTACAGTGCTGCACACACATAAGTGCAAACTTTGTCCAAAGGGGTTCAGGAACAAAGGTAGCACTACACTGGCAAGCAAGAGAAGGAAACCACAGGAGGACAGAAATAGCCACCGCTACGAAGCTCATGAATCCTTATACTTCTAGTCAAAATCGGTGTCCCTGCTGATGGCAGGGGGATTGGAACTAGATGATCTTTAAGGTCCCTTCCAATCCAAACCATTCTATGATTCTACGATTCTATGAAAATAACTGAGAAAAACCTGTTAGAACTCTATTCTACTACACCCCTTCCCCAAAAGCTACCCTATCATCTCAGATATCATCTGAGGTTGGCTCAAAACTTTGACCTACAGTTTATGCTGCTGTTGATGAAAACATATGAAGTTTAAGGCCTAAGTTTAGCATTCTGGAAAGAGTAGCACAAGTAAATGAACCCTGATTGGCTCCTGATTTTATTAAGGTCTCTGCCTATTGTAGCACAACTATCATTTAATCTTGCTTTGCAGCCCCTGTAACATGAAACCAACATGAAAACAAATTCCTGTTTTTCACTATTTTATCTCTGCCAGGAACTTTACTTGACAAGAAAAAGCAGATCCTGAATTACAGCATTAGCTCAACTTCTACAGAGTTAGCTATGTCAGAAATTGTATTTGTTTATAAATATTTTTTAATCACTTTTTCAGATCAGAGATGCACCTTTTCTACAAGCTTTTATAGGGGTTAGTGTACAGAAATTCCAGTAAAAAGATTTTATTCTAGAAAAGTAACACCAAGAAAGTTCTGTCCCAGCCTGATTAAAATTTATTTGATATGACCCAGAAACCTGTTCAATGGTTCTGAGAAAAAAATATTCCATCATCATAACTATTTTTATATTAAGGGGCCACACAAGTGCCTAACATCAACGCTTTCAACAACAGTGCTGAAAACACTTAGCATTTACTCTTAAAAAGTGGTTTCATTTTCCTTTCCCCAAAGTAATCAAGTACATGCTTACTTAAGGAAGAACAAATTTTCCTTTTTTGTATACAGCTGATATCACACCAAGGAGGGAAAAGATATATGTTTCAGACATTAATCAGACATTCAGAAATTTATCAGCAAACTGTGATATCCTACTTTTCTATCAGCTTGTTCAGACAGAGCACAGGCAGTACTAACACCACAAGAACAAGGAAGAGATGTTGTTTGAAGACATGCAAGTATTTCAGTGATGACCTTCACTGACATCCAGCAGCCTTGGCAGGACAATACACGTACGCACTATGCTCAAGAGTTTCTAATGTATTTGATCAACAACCTTAACGCTGATTAAGCCCAATAGGCTCCTTTGCTGTTTAAAAATTCCATTTTTATTTAAGCATTGTAATGCACCTTTAAATCTCTGTGGATAATAGGAGGCTTCTGTTTATGCATATGCTGCACTGCTCTGCAGGTCTGATAAAATATCTTCAAAACTGTGTCACAGGAGATGGGTCCTTTGGATTCCACTTTCTTTAAGAATTCCACCAGCTGCCCTGCAGGAAATAAGAGAAATGCAGATAAGCACACAAATTCTGAAAGCTTGGCATGAAGAGACAAGTGCTCAAAGACACTGAGGTGCTGGAGCATGTCCAAAGGCAACAAACCTGGTGAAGGATCTAGAGTACAAGTCTTAAGAGAGACTTGCTCCCTCCTCAGGCTAAGGGAGCAGGGGTTGTTTAGTCTGGAAAAAAAGCAGGCTCAGGGGAGACCTTATCGCTCTCTACAGCTACCTGAAAAGAGGTTGTAGCAAGGTGGGTGTTGATCTCCTCTCCCAAGTAACAAATGACAGGACAAGAGGCCTCAAGCTATGCCAGGCGAGGTTTAGATTGGATACTAGGTAAAGTTTCTTAAACCAAAAGGATTGTCAAGCGTTGGAATAGGCTGCCCAGGGAAGTCTTGAGTCACCATCTCCAGAGTATCTAAAAGATGTGTAGATGTGGTGTTCAGGGACATGGTTTAGTGTCAGACTTATCAGTACTAGGTTAATGGCTGGACCTGATGATCTTAAAGGTCTTTTCCAACCAAAACGATTCTATGACTCTAAGATTTACACTATTGAGTTGCAATATTAAATGGGTGTTCTGAAAATGGCAAATCCACACTGATGACACTGCCAAAGGAAATGGTACTCTAAGGAACTATTCCTCTTCTTCCTTCCTATGACTAGTCTCAAACACAAAGAACTTAATTATAATTCCATATTTAAGATGAGGTTGAACAGTAGTCCCAAAGAACATGATCGTTACCCTACAAAAGATGAAACTGAAATCTATCTCCATTGAACTATGCTGTCATTAAGAGGCTTTCAAAGCTTCTAAGCTGTGAGACAACCTGTACAAAACAGCTGTTCAAAGAGACATGCACTGCTGGGAAAAGAAATGGAGTTTACCTTTACACAGCTCCGTAAGCAGAAGAAACTCCCCCTGTCCCGTGTCCGATTCTTCTTTTCCTATAGACGCAGCAGAGCAGAACTGGACAATGTTGGGGTGACCTGAAAGTTTTTTCTGGGGATAACGTGTTCAAGGAAAATGATTGCCAAGTTTCTGGATACTGTTCTATGCAGCAGTTCACAGACATCTCATTTGAAATCTTCGCTTAAAACCACAGAAAGCATTACAGCTGCAATTAACATACTAAGCAGAAAAGGGAAATCCATGCCTCAGCTGAAAAAAAGAGACTTCATGGGAAGCCATTGAACGTAATGTAATAAAAAGCCAAAATAAAACATTAAAAAAAATTCTTGTGATTAAGGCTCTGAGGAAACTGGAATTTATGACAGGCCTGGTTACTTCTTTTTGTCTTTTGACAATGACTGCAAAGCACCAGCACAATTACCAGAGACGCCTTTTAATTATCAGCTGCTTCTCTAGCTGGCTGATCAAGAAAGGGCTATTGTATCAACACCTGTCTTTCCAAAGAAAGTATTAAGTATGTTATAATTTTAAGTAATTAAAATAAAGTTCAAAACAAATAAAAGCTCTAAAAGACCAAAAAACTTAACCTCCTATCATTAGTAATAATTCTTTATACTAAAACGTTTGTCATGTTTCACTTCCAGTTCAAAAATTTGAGGTATTATTTTTGAATTATGTAAAGTGAACTCAACTCCTGCAAACAGCAGTTATATTGCACGATGCCTGTTTGTGCTGTCCCTCATGTGCATCACCTTGGACGTATGCTGAGACTCGGGCCTACAAGACACACACACACTATTTACAAGATACATTCACCAAGTCTGAAAAGAAAAAAGCAAAGACATCAAAGCTATAAAAAAAAGGGCAAGTTGGATCCACCAAATTAGAATGAACCAGAGGCATTATTTTTTATCTTATGCATCTCTTCAGAACCTTTTACTCAGACCTCCAGGAATTAATTTCATTTCACAGTTATATCTGGAAAAGTTAGCAACAGTTAACCATCATTTATGTTTTGCATATGCTTTAATGAGCCTGACCTATAAAGAAACATCCAAGGAACATTCAGTTCTTTACTCCTGGCAAGATATAGTCAGAGTAGCTACAAAATGTATAGTGCTATGGTAGTCCATTCTTTGCAAGGGTTCTTCTAGTGAACTATGTTTAGCGTAAGATTTTTGCCAAATGTTTCAGTAATCAAAAAGAAATATTTGAGTAACTTAAATTAAGATCAGTGGTTTTGCCTGGTAACTCAAAATAAAGCTGAATAGTTAGAGTAGTAAACAAAACAACAGCATACCACAGCTACTCACTGACTCTTCAAACATACTGAGGGTCTTAGAGTACATGCTGGGGAGCAAATACTGAGTTACTGAAAACACTGAGATTACATTATACCCTGCCATCTAACACTATTGGAAGACGAAAAGGACAGCAACACTGAGAAACATCTGCTCCTTGTTCCTGATGCACATATGCTACTCAAATTCCTTCCTTGATATTCAGTATTACTTTTTAAAGCCAGACACATCTGAGGCAGAAATCAAGAAACACTGAGAGTAAAAGCAAAGTTTTGAGTAGTCAAAAAGGCAGTAAGTAGACTTCTCTCACATGCACTGGACTTAAGATCTAAGAATCATCCAAATAGTCAAAGAGTCTCTTGACCATAGTCACAGGACTGCAAGAATGCCCAAATAAGAATTTCACTTGCCTTGCTAGATGAAGTACATGACAAAGTCTACACCAGCTACAAAAGTTATCTGCACACATTAAATTCCTGCAATTTTTGAAGAACTGAACTTGCTGGATGTTGGTGCCGGACTCATGACAAACCAGGAACCCAGACCTTCTTCAGAACATCAGTCCTCTTAAGCACTGTATGATATAGAAAGATCTGAATTTGTAGAGCAGTCAGTCCTCTGTTTCTCAGAAGTGTTTGCTATCAGGCAATTAAATCAAAACATTAAAATATGTTCCAGAAAAGGATACCATAAAACAAACTTCCTGAATGATGGCTTTGTTCTTTTCTTCTTCATTAGACAACAATCGCTGTCAGGAAACAGAATAATTGAGAAGATATAGTTACTAAAACTTACAGTAAAACAGTGCGCAGAACAAAGGATAAGCTCATCAAACCCCTTAGGAACTTTGATGGGACAGTACAAGCAAGCTTACTGTACATTTGGACATACTACCATAAGTAGTATGTCCAAATCTACAAGTAGCACCCAGATTTCCCGCTACCTGTACTGTTCAAGTTCAGTGATAACTGAGTAGTTGTAACCTTTGACACTAATAAAGTAAATGCTCTGACAGTTTTCTGTCGCATAAAACACCAGTCTCCTGGCTTACAGCACTGTGCACTGACAAGGAAAGATTCATCTTCCACCTCAAATCTTCAGGAACAACCTTCATTCCACTCCAACCAAAACTTCCCCAAATTATGTAGCCCAGCTTTCCCAATGGTACCCAAGTAATCAACAGCCAAATCAAGCATTCCTATTTACGATATTGCTTGGATTTGGAGTCAACATTTGATTAGAAACAATCTGAGCATTTGCTACCAAAGTATCAGCTTCACAAAACAGAGGAAGTACAGTAATGGTTCACCTTCTGTCTGTTAATTTTAAATTGGACTATTTCTAGATGACATTTTGAACACACATACTATAAGAGTTTGGTCACGTGTTTTGTTACTGTAGGATGTGGTATGAAGAGGAAAAAAAAGACAAAGTAATTACTAGTGTTGGTGTAATACAGTTACCTCTCCCACCTCCCATACTATACCTTTTTCGCATTCTCTCAAGACAGATGTCTTTGGACTGAAAAAGCCACAGAACATCCCTTCTCCAAAAACGTTCACTCCATTTTGCAGTGAACACAAGCAACATGATTTTTTTTGCAGCAAAATACAACAAAGTAAATGGCTTAACTTCAATGTCCTTTCCATAATACTTCAGTTTTTCAGCTGCTATATGATTATTATAAGCCTTCAGAAAACAAGAATCCAGAGAAGTGCCTCTGAAAAGTGCCAGGCTAAATGTTTGATCAATGAATCAAAGTGTGGAGCATTATTTTTAATACTGATGAAACTTACTCTGGAATTACCAAGGTAGGATAAACAGAAGGCTAAATCTGCTTCTGAAAAGTGAAAATATTCCTGTATCCCACTTCAGTTAACTAGGAAAGACTCTTTTACCCTTCTCTTCTCCAGCCTGAACAGCCCCAACTCTCTCAGCCTGTCCTCATAGGAGAGGTGCTCCAGCCCTCGGATCATCCTGGTGGCCTCCTCTGGACTTGTTCTAGCTGCTCCAGGTCTCTCTTGTGTTGGGGGCTCCAGAACTGGACACAGTTCTCCAGGTGGGGCCTTATGAGAGCAGAGTAGAGGGGGAGAATCACCTCCCTCGACCTGCTGGACACGCTTCTCTTGATGCAGCCCAGGATACAGTTATTTGCCTTCTGGGCTGCAAGCGCACATTGCCGGCTCATTTTGAGCTTCTCGTTCACCACCACTCCCAAGTCCAAGTGGGATGTGGTTCACCACCACATCTAAGTATAAAGCACAGGGTCCTAACAGGAGTGACCATTCTAAATAAAGGAACAGCGTGATACAAACACCACTTCATCATTCTGGATTTTTTCCAAACTACTTGTTCAGTGGCATACATCAAGAATTAATTAATTAGCTTTAGTGCTAAAGCATCAAGCAAAAAGACAGACCTTGAAAACCTGTGAAGTAAATTCATTTTACCTTTAATGCATAATCTTTGCCACTTCCAAGGTCTTGAGCTTCATAGACAAAAGCAAAGCCACCTACAAGAAGGCACATTAAGTCAGTTTTAATTTCAACATTCAGGTAACCATTCTTTTTAATCTAACAGAGCTAATACATTAATTCAGATGTTTTTCTAAATGTAATAAATTTTTCAGTGGCTTGGCAAGAGTATGGGTAACCTAAATACAAGAGCTAAAATATTCTCTTCCTTTCTCTTACACATCATACCCACATTGACTTTGTTACTTTCCTGCATTTTGTTAGTCTGCACATGCAGATTTCCTCTGAAGCTTTTTTTTAAATGAAGGTCCTTATAAAAACCAAGATTCAGTACAGCCAATATTATCTAATGATTATAATTAAACTATTTTTTGGTTTTACACTGTTAGACTTCCTATAAAAACAGCAGTAACAAAGGGTGATAAAATGTTAAATACACACTTCCTTAAGCTTTCAGGGTAACTGCCATGCTCCAGGCTTCACATTAAAACTGGAAAGCGTTTTAAAGCACCAAATCACACACTTCCAATAAGGGTGATGCTGTTACTAAATTGCAATTTGTCATTCCATATAACATTATTTTCCTTCCAACTCCTTGCATCAGGGTATCCATTTCAAACACTAACAATTTGCTCAAGAACACTGTGCAAATTTCTATGAAGAAAAAAAGACTGAGAAAAAGTTCTAAGTTTCCTCAATTGCTAGTTATGTTAATCTAACTGTACCAAAAGAACATACTTCTACAGTTCTACTCCATTTTAAAGATCCTCATACTACTTCCATTTTTTCTGAGAATGTTATCATGGTTACACCAACAGTGTAGTTGCATATTGCTCTCTGTCTATTGCAGGGTACCCTTAGCAGAGTAACAGTCAAGGTGACGAACTTCAATGATCTTCCTTTCTACTTCAATATAAATTCCATTTTAATTGAACTACATCACAATGTTCTCTCTAGCAAAAATTTGCAGAATAAGCACAGAAGATGTCAGTGAACTACAAAGTTTGTCAAAAAGGCTAAGAGAATACGATAACTTAAGAATGAACCACAAGAGACATGTAACAAGTTGACAAGACACTTAAGATGCAGGATCCAAAACAGTCCAGTCATATTAATACCCGATACTTTCTCTGTGGATAAGGAATATTAACACGAGGCTGAAGTGAACGCAGTATTTGCTTTGTGCCACTCAGTGAAATACAAGGCTTTTCAAGAAGTACCCTCAAAAGTTTTACATGGCAATTGACCAGCGTTCTCCAAGACTGCCCACACATCTTGTTACTTTGCCAGTAGCATCTTCAACATGAAACAAATAAATAACAGGCTCCAGGATTCTGTCTTTGCTCTTCATGTCTATAGAGGAACTACAGAGAAGCAGCAAAACTAAGATCCTAGCCGCAGGCAAAACAAGCGAAAGAGTAAATAAAGCATCAATGAGTACAGCAAAGATAACAGACGCGAGGGCTGCAGTTCAGTTCCACCATATATTACTCATGCATGCACTGTGCTTACCCTACTTCCCACAACAGGAAGTTCCCTTAGCTTTCCTAAATCCCTCAGTGCAAGTCTTCTGATCAGCAACTACAATCAGCATTTTGGGCCCTGATGGGACAGTGGCTGGAGACAGGAAGTCCACACTTGGCACCACCTTAGAGTATTATCTGAAGACACTTTGCTCCTTTCTGAATGAGAATGTATACAAGAAAAACACAGTTCCAGACAGTGATGATCAGTTATAACTACTATTTACAGCTGGTGAAAAAAGCAAGATCACACATGAGTCATCCTTCCACTGAAGCTGGGTGCTGGGAAACCATGGTGTGCTAGGTTTGGGGGAGGGTGGGGGGGCAGAGGCACCCGTTTTCGGTAGTGAGGGAAGGGCCACCCTGTGAGAAGCTTCACGAAGCTTCCCTGGCTCCAAGGCAGAGACCCCTCCAGCCCAGCTGAGCCAATGAGTACTAGAGAGATGCCTCTGTGAATCCATACTTATGAGGGGAAGGACTGTCCTGAAAAGAAG